TAACCAATTCATTGACAATCTTCAAGTGACCAGCAATAGTTGCAATATGCAGAACAGTGAAACCGCCAGGAAAAATTATTTCAGTTATATAGTCTATGGATTTTAGGGCATTCCAATCCCCTGCATAGATGTCCTTGGGTAAGTTCACGAAGTGATCCGCCCTTTGATAGTTGCCCAATATCCCTGTCAAAATTTCCTTAAACTTTGTTATTTTCAAAGATGGAATAAAAAAATTAATTTGGTTAAAAGCACATGTCAATAGTCCATAAAGTACACTTATGAGAGTACTGACATGTAATTATAGTTGTTAGTTTTTTGGTCTTTAAATATTTTTAAAATATATAAAAAATATTTAATATTTATTTTGACTAATATTTTATATATTTTGAAAATAATAAAAGGACATAAAAATAAAAAATAAAGCACCGAGAATAACGTTGTCAAATGAAGCGTTAATTAAGATCAGAGTAATAGATATTCCTCTATTAAATTATAAAAATAAATTAAAATTGAAAAACTTTGAAGTTAGGAATAGAGATATTATTAATTTTCATTAATTATAAGATTAGGAGAGAAGCAAGAAATACACATCCCTTATGGGGAATAGTAATACATATTCCTTAGTCATATACTAATGTAGCATAAAATAATTATGTCAAGGAACACCTGTTTTTGTTTGTAGTTTCTTAAAGAATTTCTCAAATTTTCCTCATTTGTATAGTTTGATGAAACTAAAGCGTGCGTCATTACTCCAACCAAAACGAGATCCATTAAGACTCTGAGGATGGATGAAATTGCAAGGCTAAAAGAATGATTATTATATGGCATATAACGAAAATGATTTTTTTTTTTGAAAAGCATATAACGAAAATGATATATATATATATTTTTTCTATAAGCATGAAAATGATATAGTTATAATGACACATGATATTAAATTTGCAATCATATTATGCTATTATATAATTAGCTCTTTTTATTCTGAGTACATTTGTGATATTAGTTACATATATCAATTCATTAATAATATATTAAAATTATAAACTTAGAATTGAACATGGTATTGTAATTATAGCATTGTTATTAAAACAAATAGCAAAGAATAAACCTTACCACCGATGGAGCTGGAACTTGAACCTGCATCAGTTTCACTTCCTCTGTGCTTGTCTGCATTTGGTGGTTTATGCAAATCGGCCAATGCATCCCATGCATCTTTGGCTGAATTCATCATCTTAATCTGTTCAAACTTTTCTGCTCCACATGAAATCTTAATTGCAAACAGAGCTGAAGCATTCTTTTTAATCCAGTCCTCTGGACTTTTGGCAAGAGGAATCTGGCTTGATAGAATAACATCATCCCAAAGGCCTTGAGCCACTAAATAGTGTCGCATTAAAATGGTCCACCTCTCATAATTATTTTCTTTAAGAACCTCAGGTATAATCGCACTTAGAGATGCTGCTGCATTAGTCTGTACAAAATACATAACCATATATAAAACTATATTTTTTCCACAAAAAGAAAATTAAGCAACATAGAAGTCTTGTTAAATGAGGTTCGCCGCAGTTAAAATATTAACAAAGAACCAT